TTACACTTATGTTTTTGAGTTTCTTAGACTGCATTTATTTGATTAAAAAAAAACGTAATATTGTTAAATGTTATTACAATATAAAATAACTTTTTTGTATTTGAATATATTTTCAAATGTCATTTATTCCTGTGATGCAAAGCTGAATTTTTAGCATCATTACTCCAGTTTTCAGTGTCACATGATCCTTCAGAGATCATTCTATTTGAATTTGATGCTCAAGAATAAATTCTTATTATTAATGTTGAAAACAGATGTCCTATATATATTTAGGCAAACCGTAATATATTTTATGCAGTATTCTTTGATGAATGAACAGCACTTTGAAATAGAAATATTTTGTAATATTTTGAATGTAATTAATGTCACTTTTGATCAATGTAATGCATCCGTGCTGAATCAGTGTTAATTTCTTTCAAAAAAATAAATAAATAGAAAATAAAAATTCTTACATGCCTGATCATTTTGAACGGTAGTTTATATACAAGTCTAATTTTAAATTAAAATGTATTTAGTGTTCATTTAAAGTAATAATTTTACATTCTCATCTCATTCGTTTGCTTTTGCTCTCCACTGATTTTCATCACTTTCAACCCCCTTTTAGGACACAAGCTGTAAGTTCCACTTTAGGGTGTAGCTCGCTCTGTCGTCTGATATAAACCTGTTGGGGCTGTTGTCGACACCTCATGCTTTTTCATTGCTTCAGACTTGCAAGGGAGTGTGTGTGAGGAGCAAGTAAAATAGTGTTTGTGTAAGGTTTTTTTTTGTGTATGTGTGAAGAGAAAATACTGATGACTATGAGGGTTAGTAAGTCTGTCTGCATTATGTGGCAACTGTCACATCATAGGAAACTCCCTTTCCAAACAAACAGGGATGTTTAACATGCCATAATATAAATTCAAGGCTGGTTTTGACTGTTATCTGAGGGTTGTCATCTAGATGAGTACAAACCCTAAAAATCTAGAAAAGTTTGGGGGCTTTGAGTGATCCAGTCAACACCGTTTTCCTGTCAGCTGTAGATGTCAGTCATTTGTGACTGAGATTGTGTAATAGACCAACCGCTGATTATATAAAGAGACTATATAAAGATTTTTTTTTTTTTTTTGCTTCTGCTCCCTGGTGGCAAAACTAAGGTTTGATTTTGAGATATTGTTAAATGCAATCAATATTGTTTTATTTCATTTATTTGTATTTATTTTCTTTAGACATGGAACAGAAAAGACAGGAAATTTAATGTGCATTAAGAAAGTAAATACGGTTGAATTTGATTTCATACTGATTTTAACCACCAAATGTTCTATAAAGGTTCTCTTAAAGTTATGAACAAATGTTCTTCAGTAACTTTAATAGGATGTTTGTTCTGGTCTTTAATAATGTTCTCAATGTTAACACAATGTTATTTATCCATTGCTCATGGAATTTTTTTTTGTTTTTTTTCTGAAATGTTATAGTTTGACATTTCATCTAACCTTTTTTTTTATTTTTTTTATTTTTTTTTTTATAATGTTACTGTTTGTTTCGAAATGTTTAGAGAACATTTAAAAGTAAAATTCTGTAATGTCTGCAAAATGATAAAATGGAATGTTCCCCTAACATTTGCATAACCAAGAAAAAAGACGTTTTGAATTATTCTGAAATAACATTTTCATAACTTAAAGGGAATGTTAGCAGAACATTCATAGAACATTTTTTGTTACCTGTGTATAAATTGTATTTCTATACAGAAATTACTAACATGTTATGCATGCAATGCCATGCAACATTCAGTTACTAATAATCTGTTTCCTCTCCACAGCGTGAGTGTATCTCTGTCCACGTTGGCCAGGCTGGTGTCCAGATGGGTAACACCTGCTGGGAGCTGTACTGTCTGGAACACGGTATCCAGCCCGACGGCCAGATGCCCAGCCACAAACCAGTGGGTGGCCATGATGACTCCTTCACCACCTTCTTCAGTGATACTGGAGCTGGCAAATATGTACCCCGTGCCATCTTTGTAGACCTTGAGCCAACAGTCATTGGTAAATATCATAAATGTGTTTAATTTAAGGCCATGTATTTGTCATTTTAATATGTAATCAGTAAAATCATTGCAGCCATAGGCCGCACGGTGAATTTATAATAGAAAGATGGCACACTGTTATAATGCTTACAGAACATTTATAACTATAATTAACACGGAGTGTAAATTATTTTAAATTGTTTACATAATTATATTTATCATTTTATTATAATTGTTTTCATTATTAAATTAAATAATTAATATATTATAATAATCACATTACCATGAGAAAATCTGGCTTGTATTACTGAGAATGAAATTGTCCTAATGTTTAGGGGTCAGAATCAGTATTACTATTTTGAATTGGCTTTTATTTTTATATTTTCAATTTTCATTTTGGTTTAAGTTAGTCATTTTGCAAGCTCGTATATTTTATTTGCATAAAGGTCAGTGATATTGTAAATATGTAGATTTTATAATTTAAATTATTATAATAAAATATGAAATATAAATTTATATATATATTATCTTATTATTATTATTATACTAAAATGTTTTTTTTCAGTGGGACAAAGCTCAGGATCGGTGTCATTTTAATATTAATTTTATGTCATTATAATATTTATTTTGAATGAGCTTTTATTTTAATTATGTTAGTTTAAGTTTATGCATTTTTATCAGTTAAATATTTCTTAAATATATTATAAATGTTAAGTATTTCTAAAAATAATTTTATTTTATAATTTGTATTTTTATCTATCTATCTATCTATCTATCTATCTATCTATCTATCTATCTATCTATCTATCTATCTATCTATCTATCTATCTATCTATCTATCTCTCTCTCTCTCTCTCTTTCACTAATTTAAATAAAGCTGAAGTCAACAGTAACGGCACTGGTCAGGATTTGGTTTTATGTGGCACTGCTGTGTTATTCTTTCAGATGAAGTCCGCACTGGCACTTATCGTCAGCTGTTTCATCCTGAGCAGCTCATCTCAGGCAAAGAGGATGCTGCTAATAACTATGCCCGTGGACATTACACCATTGGCAAAGAGATCATTGACTCCGTGCTGGACCGCATACGTAAACTGGTAATGTCAATAATTAGTATTAAATTTACTTACAAAAATAGATTCAAATAACAGAAACTAAAATGTAAATTTTGTCCCTTCCACACAGGCTGACCAATGCACAGGGCTGCAAGGTTTCCTGGTCTTCCACAGTTTCGGTGGAGGTACAGGCTCAGGTTTCACCTCCCTTCTGATGGAGCGTCTCTCTGTTGACTTCGGAAAGAAGTCCAAGCTGGAGTTTGCCATTTATCCAGCTCCCCAGGTGTCTACGGCTGTGGTGGAGCCGTATAACTCCATCCTGACCACCCACACCACCCTGGAGCACTCCGACTGTGCCTTCATGGTGGACAATGAGGCCATCTACGATATCTGCAGGAGAAACCTGGATATTGAGCGCCCATCATACACCAACCTCAACAGGCTCATCAGCCAGATTGTTTCCTCCATCACAGCCTCTCTGCGCTTTGACGGCGCCTTGAATGTCGACCTAACAGAGTTCCAGACCAACTTGGTGCCCTACCCTCGTATCCACTTCCCCCTGGCCACATACGCTCCAGTCATCTCCACTGAGAAGGCCTACCATGAGCAACTCTCTGTGGCTGAGATCACCAACTCGTGTTTTGAGCCCAACAACCAGATGGTGAAGTGCGATCCACGGCATGGAAAATACATGGCCTGCTGTTTGCTGTACAGAGGAGATGTGGTTCCAAAAGACGTCAACGTCGCCATCGCAGCCATCAAGACTAAAAGAAGCATCCAGTTTGTGGACTGGTGTCCCACTGGCTTCAAGGTGGGCATCAACTATCAGCCCCCAACTGTGGTTCCTGGAGGAGACCTGGCCAAGGTGCAGAGAGCCGTGTGCATGCTAAGCAACACCACAGCCATTGCTGAGGCCTGGGCCCGTCTGGACCACAAATTTGACCTGATGTATGCCAAGAGAGCCTTTGTGCACTGGTATGTTGGTGAAGGCATGGAAGAGGGAGAGTTCTCTGAGGCCAGAGAAGACATGGCAGCACTGGAGAAGGATTACGAAGAAGTGGGCATTGATTCATTCGAGGAAGATGAGGAAGGGGAAGAGTACTAAAAGGGGAAAAGTGTTTTTTTTTTCTACCAAATAAAAGCCAAATAAAATATAGCTTTTAATTATGTTGTTGTTGTTGTGGTTCTTTTAATAATTTGGTGACATTGTCAAGTGTATGCAATTCATTGTTTTTACTCTCCCCAATACTGAAAAGATTTTAAAAGATTTTCTTGATAAATCACAAAAACATTATTATTATTATTATTATCGTCATCTTCTATAATGTTTAATAATTTATATACCATATTATTTTTATATGTATTACTTTTATCTAATGTGATATCTATTTTGATGTATTTAATATATTTTAGAATATTACAATTAATCATGCTACATTCATAATTATGCTGTATAAAATTATTTGCTTTTATGCAATTATTTACAATTATATTTTTATATATTATCTGATTAAAAAGGGGAAATATATACTGAACTGTAAATCATGCAAAAAAAAAATCTATAAGATCATTAATATGGCATAACATTAATTTAGCTATAGGCTAAAATAAATAAAAGTGAGAAACAATCAAGATAAATTAGTCATTTTATAGACCTTACATATATAATGTGCACATTATATAATATTTAAACACGTTTAACAAATTGATGCAAATATTTACAAAAAAAAGTTATGCATTTAATAACCCGAATTTTAATGGGGTGTTTAACTTTAACTGTAAATCACGCAATCTTTTATCTATTTAATTCTAATTAGTTTAGCTATAGACCACAAATTCTTCTTCTTAAGACTCATGATAGGCAGCAAGCACTTAGCTAATCGTGGATGTTTTCGGGACCAGCATTGAATGGGTTAAACCGAAAGCCTGCGTCAGAATACGTCACGGTTACGTTTTCTTTGTCGACGGAAGAAACCGGAGAAATTAGCGGAGGACCGGGAGAGCGTCTCCTAAGGTGAGCCGCATCTCACTTTAATCATATAAATGGAACCGTATTGGATGGCTTGATACCAGCACCATGTAATTAGATAAGAACCTAGTCTACATTTGAATGTTACGGGTCTCGCTCGATGCATACAATGCCTGCGAAACACAAACAAACCAGCGGTTCTTGAAGATGCCACGTTTACCGCGGATCCGAATTCATAAAGCGATCGATGTGTAGGACAGTCATGAATTATCATAAGAGCTTCACGGCAGATTCAACGCGTTTCACTAGCAAGCACCAAGTGGCATCTGTCACTCAACAGCGCACGCCATAAAGCTCCAATAATTAGTAGGAAGCCAGTCAGAAAGCTCCGTTATACTCCGTGAATAATTTATTTGAGTGGAAAATTGGACACTGAGAGTGACAGGCAGTATTACGTTGACTTGACCAGACGGTCTAAATTATCTTGCATTTAATAATTAATAATACGTTTTATTTATAGGCTTTAGTGTGTTCTTCATGTCACAGAAAGCAAGAAAATCAGGAAAAGAGGATGCAGTAAAGTAATGCACTATTTATTCCAAAATATTTTATCAACACATATTTCATTGCGTTGCCGTTAATGTAGCCTTTTGATTATTTAATCATAAGCTTTTATGCTTATAGTAACAATTATTTTAATTAATTTAATAATTTCACAGTTAAAAAGGGTTATATATATATATATATATAATTATAACAAGAGTTATATATATATATATAATTATAATTTACTCATATTTAATGTGTAAATTATAATTATATAATTTTAGTTATTTGATATTTTGTTTAATACTAATATAAACAATTATATTAATTTGCAGAAAATACTAATTTAGAGAAAAGAGGATATGCTTAACCCAATGTGTTCTTGTTATTAAAAATCATTGAAAATTTCTCCAGACATAATCCCATAGGCTCGTACAGTTGTATATAAATATAAATAATGCAATATTTGTTCCACAATATGCTGAAGTGAAAACAGATTTTGTCATCAACACATATTTCATTGATTTGCAGTTGGGGGAAAAATGCTGCGAACACTCTGAACCTTAGGCTACTGCGCACACAATGGTCTGGACAATATTCTTTTTGGTATTTCCTTGTGGCCTCGTGTAGAATTCAGTGACAGTCGTACACATTGCTCCATTCTGAATATGGAATAGAGTAAAGAACAGAATAAATGAATATGGCATAAAATACATTTGAAAAAAGGATATAAATAATCAAGTCGAAATCTCTTACAGAGCCTCTCCTTCATCCATGGTCGGTCATAAGCAATGCTCCAGAGAAGATGGGACAAGCTTTGTGTATATGCTTGCGCAGTGCCATCACAATTGACAACAAGAGATACTACTTCATCCAGAAACTAGAAGAAGGGTAAGACTCCTCAACTAGACTATTCAGTCTTTAAAATACTTAAAGGAATAGTTCACCCAAAAAAGAATGTTTGCTGAAAATGTACATACCCCCAGGCCATTCAAGATATAGATGAGTTTGTTTCTTAATCATAACAGATTTTGACAAATTTAGCATTACTTCACTTGCTAATCAATTGATCCTCTGCAGTGAATGGGTGCCGTCAGACTGAGTCCAAACAGCTGATAAAAACATCAAAATATCCACAAGTAATCCACACAATTTCAGTCCATCAATTGATCAATCTGTGTGTTTGTAAGAAACAAATCCATCATTAAGACAGTCTGTAATACTTTAATATTGCTTTCTCCAATGAAAAAGTGTCTCATCTGAATCAGGAGAAAAATATGCAAGGATCAAGCACAGTTTCTAAGTGAAAACAACCCTAAACATTTTTAAACAAATATGTTGGTGGATTTTGATGTGAGAGGAGAACAGGATGGACTTTTCCGCTGGAGGAAGCTTTATTATGGATTATGGACTCGTTTTTTTGGTCAGAAGCAACAGTTTAAGTTTAAACATTTTAGTGATGGGTTTGTTTCTTATAAACTCACAGCGTTTCAATTAATTTCACAAGACGTTAATTCATGAATTAGAGTGGTGTGGATTATTGTGATGTTTTTATCAGCTGTTTGGACTCTCATTCTGATGGCACCCATTCACTGCAGAGGATCCTTTGGTGAGCAAGTGATGTAATGCTGAATTTCTCTAAATCTGCTGTAATGAAAAAACTCATCTACATCTCAGATGGCCTGAGGGTGAGTACATTTTCAGCAAATGTTTAGTTTTTTGATGAACTGTTCCTTTAAAAATGACTGGAATTGTGTGAGCCCAAAGATGCCACCTTGGCAAGGAAACATATGGAAGAAGTATGTTTGAAAATGGCCCATCTTTCATAATTATGCATGGCAGTTTTCATTATAGTGTGCTTAAGTGAAATTTATTCGATTAAACAGCTGGTCTCATTAGGACAAATAGTCATTTCATTGTGATTCTATTGTTTATAATTATTTTCATCGTACCTTCTAGAGGTTTCAGCTATGTGGATCTGGTAGAAGGTGCACATGATGGCCACTTCTACGCTCTAAAGCGAATCCTTTGCCATGACCGTGAGGGCCGCAAAGAGGCTCAGACCGAGGTGGAGATGCACCGCCTTTTCAACCATCCCAACATCCTCAGCCTGACAGCACACACCTTTATGGAGCGCGGCGGAAAGTGTGAGGCCTGGCTGTTGCTCCCGTACATCAGTGTAAGTAGACCGTATTCAGCTTTTCCGTTCCAGGCTTCTAATAAATCCAAAAGTCTGAGATGTGCAGTATGCCATTTAAAAGCGTTTTATGTGCTGAATTCTTCTGTGCAGAAGGGAAGTCTTTGGTCCGTTCTTGAGAAGCTGCGGGATAAGGGAAGCTCTATGCCAGAGAGCCGCATACTACACATTCTGCATGGCATCAGTGAAGGCCTCAAAGCAATACATGACAAAGGCTATGCACACAGGTACTGAGAGTAAAATTCATCCATCATTAGTTTTGCCATGGTTCTGCATTGAAGATGGAACTTGTAAAAATAACTAGTTACTTCATAGTAATTAATGTAATTGGTAGCTCTTTCCATTTGTTAACAGTAGTCAACTACATTAGTTAACATGAACTAACAATGAACGATACTTTGCAGTTTCTAAAAGAGCAGCAACAGCATTTATGATAAAACATGCCAATGTTTACATAGACTTGGTTCTTAATACTATATGTCGTTACTGAAATGATCCACAACTGTGTGTGTGTGTGTGTGTGTGTGAGATGGTTGTTCATGAGTCCCCTGTATGAACAGTTAAACTGCCAACTGTTCTTCAGAAAAATCCTCCATGTCTTGCAAATTATTTGGTTTTCAGCATGTCGTGGAAAAGTTCATTTATTTCAGTAATTCAACTCAAATTGTGAAACTCGTGTATTAAATAAATTCAATGCACACAGACTGAAGTAGTTTAAGTCTTTGGTTATTTTAATTTTGGCTCACATTTAACAAAAACCCACCAATTCACTATCTCAACAAATTAGAATACTTCATAAGACCAATAAAAAAACATTTTTAGTGAATTGTTGGCCTTCTGGAAAGTATGTTCATTTACTGTACATGTACTCAATACTTGGTAGGGGCTCCTTTTGCTTTAATTACTGCCTCAATTCGGCGTGGCATGGAGGTGATCAGTTTGTGGCACTGCTGAGGTGGTATGGAAGCCCAGGTTTCTTTGACAGTGGCCTTCAGCCATCATGTACAATGTACATTTGAATGTTTTCCTGTTGTTATTATCACTCATGAGCTTTATTTCTGGAAACAGGGACTTGAAACCCACCAATGTTTTACTGGATGAGAACGATCGCCCTTTGTTAATGGACTTGGGCTCCATGAACAAGGCCAGGATTGAAGTTCGGGGGTCGCGGGAGGCCATGACAGTCCAGGTTAGAGCAGAAAATTGTCCAGCGGCACTTATCAATATATTTTCAGCCAATCAGAACATTAAATGAATCATGTTTGTACACTTGCTCATTCAGGATTGGGCCGCTCAGAGGTGCACCATCTCGTACAGAGCACCAGAGCTCTTTAATGTGGAGAGTCACTGTATCATTGATGAGAGAACAGATATTTGGGTAATTCTCGTTTTTGTGTGTTTTTACGAGTGTAATGGTTATTTACGTTTCAGCACTTCATTCTCAAAACAGCGTGAACGACAGAATCCTGCAACAATCCAAGCCCACCCATGACATGTTGTTTTATTGCTGTTCAGTGTGTTTAGTTGTGTCTGTGCAGGGCTAATGTTAGCAAACTTTGTCCTTTCTTATCTTTGCTCCTTCAGGTCAGCATAATGTTATGTCTGTGGCAGTCTGTTATGTCTATTGTAGGTAATCTTTGTATTTTGTACCCTAGTCTCTAGGTTGTGTGTTGTACTGTATGATGATGCTGGAGGGACCATATGACTTGATATTTCAGAAGGGTGACAGTGTGGCTCTCGCCGTCCAGAATCCAGTCTCCATTCCACAGCCGTGCAGGTGAGCTCAAGATCTTTCAGGGCCATTATTGTGTAAAATTTAGCCTCTGTGGTCCTCATGAGAAAAGGCAAGTTTATTTATATTGCACATTTCATACACAACGGTAATTCAAAGTGCTTTACATAAAAGGAAATAGAGTACATTCAGCTCATTCAGTAAATGCACAGCTAAACAGATGTGTTTTGAGTGTGGATCTAAATGTGGCAACTGTTTTATCAGATCTTTGCAATGCCAGATCAGAATTTTTGTCGATCTTACAAGAAATATATAATATTATGAATTATAATTTTAAATAATATTATTTTTAACTGATTTTCACTCATTAAAATGTCCACATAGTGTAACTTAAATGTGGAATATACATTTAAAAAAATATATAATAATAAAAAAAAAATGTTCCTACATGAAACAATACACATACACACACACACAAAATCGTGTAACTTAAATGTGAAAAATTGTTTTAAATAATATTACATTTAAAACTATATATATATTTAAATAATATTGTTATATTATATTTGTAACTAATTTTGCACACTACACATAAGAAATTGTGTAACTTACCAAAATGTGAAATAATTTCAATGATATTATATTACATTTTATATTCAATTCAATTCAAGTTTTTTTGTATAGTGCTTTTCACGATACAAATCGTTGCAAAGCAACTTTACAGAAAATTAAGTTTTTACAATATTTAGTAGTAGCTTATCAGTGGTGACTGTCATTTAATGTACATATGGCAGAAATGTACAGAAAAATCAATTAAAGACGTAATCAAACAGACGATGAACACTATTAACAGCAATTATTATATGATGCTATCAAACGTATAGCAAAATTTGGTAGTTCTGTATGTTGTTTCAGGGTTGGCATCATCTGAGGTCCTCTGAGGGGTTATATATAATATTAAAATACATTTTATTTAATATAAATATGATTTAAAATATTTTATTTCACACAGTTTTATGTGAATTTTTTTATGTGGGAAAATTGGTTTTAAATATAATATTAGAATATATTTTTTATATTTTATAATTTTCCCTCAAAAAAAAAAAAAATAGAATATATTTTAAATAAAATATAATATTATATTTTAAATAAAATACATTTTACTTTACTTTAATAGATTAAACTATTTTCCCATTTTAAAATTGTGTAATTTATTTAAAGGTGGGGTAAGCGATTTTTCAAAAACGCTTTAGAAAAGATTCGGGGCAGAGTAGCAAAACAAACTTGTAGCCAATCAGCAGTAAGGGGCGTGTCTAATCATGATGTGGAGGAGAGAGCGTTCAGTGCACGGGACGGACATTAGCGAGCCGAGCGACAGAAAGATAGACATGGCGGATAAAAAACAAAAGAGGAAAACGTCTGCGGAAGGTTTAAGGTAACAAGGCAAGAAGTAGGACCCGTGTAAATATCGGATCAGCTTTCCAGCGCTGTAGAAAACTCAAGGAGCGGAAGGCCTGCAGTCGGACGCCAAGGTTGCTTTGTTTCTTCTCGATAGGTGAGTAACACCGTGTCTGCGCCGCAACAGCTAAAATCTGTCTTGAAGGTCATTTCAAATTTGTGTCAAAACGTCATAAATAGAACGCAGCAGCAGTTTTCTGTCGGGATTTGTCATGTCGCGTCTCGCCGCGCCGCATCCAGTGTAGACCATAGATATGTATATATATATATATATATATATCTATGGTGTAGACAGCATCACTGATTATAATGAGTTGTATAGTATTTTGTCGCGCCACTCGCATCCGGTGTAGACACGGTGTAGCATTGATTTTGCTTTGTTTCACAGAACTAATCATTGCCTGGGTTGCGTACTTATGTGTGGGGCGGAGCTATCAAAATAGGGACGAGACCCTTTTGGAGTAGGTGCGTGTTTGTTTTGGTGATTTCAAATGTCAACATTGGCTACCAAAAATCGCTTACTCCACCTTTAAATGTGGAATATTGCACAATATATTCTAAACTATTTTAAACAAAAATTTTACTCGTACAAAAATGTGGACATCTTGGATAATAAGTTTCAAATCATGAATACTCACAGGAGATTATTAAGACTAAGTTTAATAAAAACTGTTCATGGAGTGGATCGTCTCATATGGGCCAACATGTGGAGATCACATAATCAAATTAATGATAGTCTTTTTATAGCAGAAAACTGCTTGAAATTGAGCAGTTTTAGTCATGGAATGAGATTTAGCACAACACTAATGTTTTCAAATCATAACATTTTAACGTCTCGGTAACCGGAGGACGTATACCTGCCACATCCTTGTGTATACTGTATAACTGGACACTAGGTCTCTTTCTTTAACACAGTTATTCTCAAGGTCTTCAAACCCTCCTCAGCTCCACTATGGTGACCAATCCTCAGGAAAGGCCCAGAATCAGCTGGATCCTTGACCAGGTCCAGAACCTTCAGGACTCAAACAGTACAGACGTAGATACCAACAGAGTATGATGCTTCCATTGAGATTTCATGTCAGTTTTCCTTTGGACTCTGGGCTTTTTGGACTATGCACTCTCTCTTTCGAACAAAATTAACCAACTGAACTCACAAGCCTTGCAAACATTTGCTCTGTCTTACCTCAGTGAGCTCAGTACACCATGGTTACACACTCCAGCATGATCACACTAGCCTTCACATCAATATCTCATATTTCACACCAAAATCCATTTTGAGCAATGAAATGATCTTATGATTTTGGGGTAAAATATGAACAAGGCATGTTCCTGATTTTGTGGGATTCACTGTAATGTCACACAAACCACACAATAGAGGGCGATAGCTCAGTTTGCTCAGGCTGCATTATCACAGGCACCGGTTACATATCAAACCAGTTGTTTTAGGATTGTAATTTGGCCTATCTGTCTTTTTTTCCACATTTCTAAGATTGTTCATTTTAAGGAATGAAAACAAATGTATATTTATGAGGATTTTGATTTGAATTTTAGCTGCTTAAAATGTAATTGACATCAGTTAGGTTATTTAAACGTAGCTCTCCTGATAAAGCAAGACATGCAAGGTTTTTGTGGGCAGAGAATTAGGGACTTTGTGTTGTGAAGGTCCAAAGATAAAGTGCAGTTACTGCCAGTGGACTTCATTTGTGAAACAGAATTCTGACTAAAACCATTCTTATGCATGTTGTAGCATAGAAAAAATAGTTCTGCTCACGTTTAATGAAGGAGTCTGGAAAATATGGCTGAAGAATTTGTGGATTAAAGAATAAGTCATTTTAAATAACTTGTTTGGCTATAGCTCACTACTTTTATTACAAAGTGAAAGTGCTGTTAGTTATGCTACGCTCAGTATTTGTTTCAGAGACTTTGAGAGGATGTGTAACAAAAGGTCATGCCTGTGAAAATGTTACTTTGCAAAAAGAATGTTCACTTTTTAGTCGGTACAAATTACTGCGTAAATACTCAATTGTTTTGTTTAGTGGGAGTTTCTTTAATTGCTTACAGCATTTGTGTGTTCTTTAAAGGAAACTTGTAAAAAAAAAAAAACATTAGAAATATATGCATTTAAATTGAGCAAGAAATCCACATGCCTAGAGACAATTGCTGCATTCAGTTATTTGTTTATTATGCCTGGTAAGGCTTAGTGTGGCTGAATCTCACAGAAAGATGTAGGGTCATGTTTTAACTCATTAATAACATTAACAACAACAAACAAACAAACAAAAAATATATATATATAGTTTGCTTAAAAATAAATAAAATAAAGCCTGATTGTAGGACCATTACATTATTTGGCATTGTGGCTTTATGTTAATATGACCAAGACATGTTTTTATGAGATCATATTTGCGTTATATGCGCTTTGATAATTCAGAACTAAATTAACTGAAACATTCCATACATATATAGTAGTTGGAATATAATCTGTGAATAAGGACCTAAAAGTGTTTCTGCTTTTTGTTTGTTTTATTTTTTTAACAGCAGTAATTTTCTGATTATTTCAGAAAAATGATCATAATATTCAGATTTACTGCAAATTGCTTTGCTGTGGCTCACCTCATTTTGACTTGGATATTAATGTTTTGAAAGGTCATTACCTTGCACATGTCCAAGTTTGCTTCTGTTCATGAATTCTTAATTATGCAAGCCTGTTAATTTCTAGGATATAAGACTGGAGACATATATCTTGGCATTCATTTACATGTATTTCATTCCTTTTGTAAATGGTGAATAAAGTGTGATTGAAACAGCGACAGATGGAACTGGTTAGGTATCACCACACGGGGGAGATGTTGCTCAAGTTGTTTTGTGATCTCTAGTTGACCGGTGAAGGAAACTCGAGAAAAAAAAATAGAAATTGTATTGATATTTTTATGTTTTTGTTCTTTTTGTAGTGATATGTAAACATATGTGTCTTTATGCCCCAAAACACTGGTAATGCCATGGTGTTTTAGAAACTAATGCTGTTATACTTTGTTATAAAGTAATTTATTATTTCTTATACTCTTCTTTGGAAGAAAGGGATATATTTATAATCACACACACACACACACACACACACACACACACACACACATATATATATATATATATATATATATATATTAGTATTTTTATTACTATTTCTACCAACAAAAATAGGTTTTAAGACATTAATTTCTATCTTTTACTGCAGTGTGTCAGTAGAAAATATCAGTTTACATTTCCAAACATTCATTTTGCCATTAATTGTAATAATCCAGTGAGATTTTTGTTTGCAAGGAGTCTGACAACAGCCAGTGCTCCACACAGAGATCTGATCTCACCTTCACCCAGTCCGCCTGGGATTACATGAAGAAACAGAAAAAACTGACACGGGCTAATTTTTATTTTTTTTGACTCCCAGAAACAAAATTGTGTCAAAACGACAAATATGAACACAAATTTCTCTTCGCTATACTGACCTGAGGAGGGCATCCAAAAACCTGTGAATGATGGCTGCTTTGCCTCTTTAACAATGTGATGTTTTAATGTTAATGCCGTTCACAAAAACAGTGTTGTCAATAACTGCATGCCGAAACCTCAACAACTGAACCCCTTTGTTTGGTCTACGCTGTGGTATGAAATAATTATTACAGGCTGTTTAGGCACCTGAATTTATGGTATGGGTCGTGAAGCTCAAAAGTGTCGTTCTGACTCCATGTTCATCATAATCAATCTCATCAATGACCTTACGGCACCGGCAGGGGACAGAGAGGCCATAAACCGCATATGCACACACACATTCACCTAGACATCACCAGTTTCAGACAGAGAACATAATGCACAGACATAGATACAGTTCCAGTGGGATGAATTACACTTAGCATTTCCATCCATTCAAACCATCCCTCTTTAAGTCCAGCCGGCCTTCTCTGGATAATCATTCATTATACAGAAACAATGTTTATGGTCTGGGGAGCTTGTGGGACTGTCCTCCATTGGTCTGCTGTCTCTGCTTTCATGATCCCACAGGCTGAAATGATGTCATGTTATAGTCCACATCAAGATCAAAATGAAACCTACCTTTGTATTTTTTACTGAGGCTAATATATTTTTAGTATGTTTAATCAAAAAGTACGCCTTTACATGTGGTGGTTAGGGTGATGTTTGCAGTATGAATATAGAACATCTCCAGGTCGCATTTTACCCCAACAGACAAAGGACAGAGAGACAAATATATATGTATAGCATAAAGAATATGAATATTTTCTGCATTGTAACATAATTTTAATGATGATTAAGCATACTTTCTCCACTAATCCTCATTAACTTAACGCATACGTACTGTGCTGTATGCATTTTCTTTTTAAATGAAAGCATAGACAATAATGCTTTATGTGAATAACATCAGTATTTTTGTATTCATTTTTCCCTACAGCTAATGAGAATTTTACGGAAAAAAAAAATTTAAGCTCGTAACTAAATAAATGAGCACATAAATACATAAATATTTTGGGGGTAAAACATGAAACATAAATTTAAAAAAAAAATTTTTTTAAGTGGTCTGTAATGTCAAAACCATGTGCATCCTGTGGTAGTCCGGCTTATCAACCAGTGAATGATAATGAATGACCGGCTAGAAACAACATAAAACCATCACCTTAGACTGGATCCATCTGGATCTTCCGGCAGGTCATTTAGCTTTTTTGAAATATTTGTTGATTACTGGCTAAGAGAGTCCAACCATATTTGGCCAAGTTTAATACTAGTGTTCAGGGTTTGTTCAAATCACTAATCCTATAGGCCTAGTAATAATAATAGTCATGCAAAATACATCATCCTGGTTGCAACCAATTGGTCACCTATGCTATACCAACACCATAAACCATCTCCTGCTTTATTGATTTAGTGATGAATCAATTAGTGAATTATTTAATTAGCCAGGGATTATGGGTCAGTGTTGAGTGCCTTTGATGCTCCACTGTTTCTCTCCTTCAGTAAATCACATATGTGCCATAAAGGCCACAGAGAGGGGTAGGAAATACAGTGAAAATGTGTCACATTTGGTAAAGTTCTGTGAATATTGTATTTGTTTACCTACAAATGCTCCATTGATTGGACCCTTTTGATTGACTATTTATTTTATTCCTTTCTGTTTATTTCCAAGTTTAAATTAGATTTTTAATTCCATATTGTCTTGCTTTATTGGACACCACTGGGTTGAAGTTTACGTCTTTAAAACAGTCATTGCACAACCAGCTATAAATAAAGCGTTCGCTTCAAGTTTAGGTAGGCCGAACATTTAAATTAGTCACTAGCGTATAAAAGTAAACATTAGCCGTTTTCTACATGTGCATTCAGAAATCACATCTCAAGATAGGCTGATTATTTATTGTGGCAGGGAAAAACGAACACAGCCCTTTGCTGACTCCAAGCCAATCATAATCATTGTGACGGGTAGCTAGTCGCTTATCTTGATTATTAAGCCACATTTCGCATCTGTTTGAGAGATTTCCCGCAAGCGTAATAAATGCCTGTCCCGAATGCAAGCTTGCATTTAAAAAGAAAAGGCTGAGCCTTTTTCAATAACGTTTATTACTAAAACTTGGCCTTTTTGTGTGTGTTTGAGCTGCGGTTAAATTCGGGACAGATGTGAATTTATGGGGCCAGTCTCTCATTCTCTTACCTTCCCATTAGCTTAAGTGACACGACAAGGCCGAGGGAAATCTCAAGCAATAAGGGTGATTACTTTAAAAGATCACACAATCTGTTCATATTCCCGTAATGAGTCTGATTGATTAAACTACAGGGTATAAATATTTTACAGGGTCATACTGCTCAAGTTATTGTTGCTGATTTGCCGGCTGACAAATTGGTCACATTTACTATTTAATATTTATTTCACTATGAAACTGACATTTTCATGCGGATAAAAGGGCTGGAGCTGAAAGCGGTGCCATATGTAAGGTCGTGATATCTTTGATGCCATGTGCTCATGACTCTGGGTCAATGCCGTGTAATGGTTAGAATGTAGAAGACACAGGTAGTCAGCATTTCTGTCCATCTTCTTGTGTATGATAAAACCGCCAAAAGCATTACATTTATATTCAGGATTTGGATATGTGTTTCTAAAAGGCACATCAAGTGTTCTGCTGTTAATAATATACTAGAAATCAAGATTGTTGGCGTGACTATTCATATTTAAGATTTTCGGTGGTGTTTGGTAAGGCAAGAATCACTATTACTATTTGAAAGGTTTCAAGAAACCTCTAATCCAGTGGTTCGCCATAGTCCTATAAATGCAGTTGTTCATGATATTAAAATAGTGCATTAAATATATAAAAATGTTTAGGAACCCTGGTTCTTCACCAAAAAACAGTTTAAAAAAACTCTCATCAGTTGTTGAGAGCACAGATTAAAATAAGAAATATTGTGATATTTAGGGGTTTTATTGCTTATTTTAATGCTTGTTTTGATTTATGCCCTCTTGTTGAAAACCACTGCCATAATCTTAATTAGTAAACTTAGGCATGTAATTTGTCCTATACGCTAATACATGTCATTATGAACTAAAGACATGAATGACACCTCAAATCATGTGACTTTTTGAGTGACTTGAAAGGGGTATTACTTTTCTGTTATTTGTATTTTCAGAATAAGGAAAAAAATTGTACAAGACCAGCAATTGCATTGCAAGTATCGCTCACATTTTCTTCAGAACATTTGAAAAATCTAGTGTAAAAATTGTAAATTACCTGTTCATATTATTAAGAATCAATAACCTGTGGAAAACATGTAAAGGCATGCACTTAGCAAGACTTTACAGTTAATCATCTTTTGCATTCTGGGACTTCTTTTCCTTTTTTTCCACAACCTTTATTTCACCTTCCCTTACAAATAATATGAAAATAATCACCACTTTGGATTATATAAAATTAGCCACCATAATAAACTGTAGCCTTCAGTATATCTGTAGAATCAGTTTTTGCTCGCCTCATTCAGAGATGCTATATTTCAGAAATGGTATAGATTTTTAAAGAAAATGTAATTGGCATTTGCCTGTGCAAAAACACTGGCTAAGGTGTTCTCAGTGCTTTTAACAGCATGCTGTTTAAAGTGTTAAGGATTGTTTCTTATGGGCTTAAGTCAACAGAGTTAGGGTGTATTCACACCAGGAAAGTCCGCTAGTTCACTTGCTTTTGTTTTTGTTTGGTGTGGTTCGCTTTCACACTGCCCTTTTTGCAAGTGAACCAGAAATTGTAAACAAAACCACGTGTGCTAAGGTCATCCATTAATTGGACAGAAATTCTCAAGCGTACCAGAGTTCGTTTGGAACCGGACTGAGACCACCTCTTCAGCTGAGTCTTGGTGCGGTTGTTTGGTCCGCACCTGAGTGCGATTGCTGTATTCACACTTGCCCAAAAGATCCGCACCAAGGGGGGAAACAAACTTGAGTTCGATTCAATCGAACCAAACAAGACAGGTGTGAATAAACCCTTAAAGTCAATATGATGTTCTGATATTGATTATGACTTGGGTCCCAGGTTTTTTCAGCCATTTTATTGTCCGCCAGTTCCACTTGTGTGTGCTAGACTTCTCTTATAACTTAGAGATAGCAGACCTTTCTTTATTGACTTGAGCTATCATTAATGTTTTTTTGCCTTAACAAACAGCACTAATTACAGTTTAAACATTTGAACACTGTAATATGAAGTGTAACTTCTTTGGAGATCTGTAGCATCCCCTCAAACTGTAGAGTATGATGCATGTAACTCCAAGGTCAGGTGTT